TTTTTTTTTTTTTTTTTTGTTGTTGTTGTTGTTTCTTGACTTGCCGGTCGAGTATAGCCCAGAGGTTTTCGATGGGGTTCATGTCAGGAGATTGGCTCGGCCAGGGCAGCTTCTGGATACCTTTTTGTGCCTGCCGCTTTTGGGTGTTTCTAGCAGTGTGACACGGTGCACCATCTTCTTGGAACAACTTGTGACCACTCATTGTACACACAAAATAATTGCGCAAGACAATGAGTCATGATACAAAATACAAACAATAATACTCTCCATGTTATGATGAACGCCCAAACATGAAATGGAACATTTACAACATGACAGGATTTTCTATGGGATTTAACTTGTAACGTAATTATGTGATTATGTCAAAGCTGCTAATTTCAATTGGTACGCATAAAGCAGAAAACGATTAATTAAAAACTAGTTGGTTGAGTGTCTCGGCGGCAAATATAAAGGCTTATGACGCTACAAACTGGTCACAATACCAGTGATGGGTGCAGCACAGACATTATATATATAATCAACTGCGCAAGTCAGTGGTTCATGCTACTAAATACAAACAATAATACTCCATGTTATGATGAATGTCCGAACATGAAATGAAATATTTAAGCTCCTAATGCTTGTTACTTTTTTGTTTTGTAAATTTCAATTGGTATACATACAGACAGCCCAGTGTAAGTTCGTGCTTAAAACAAAGCAAGTAGGTTAGGGACTTTTTTTATTCTCCAAGTATGTACTATGGGTTATCTTAAAATAGATCGTGAAAATAATTTTTATTAGCTTAATTTTTAATTAGATTTATATTTTTCTTTTTCTTTGGTATAAACGTATTTTGTAATTTTTTATTAACATGCCCTTAACTTTTTTAATGAATATTTTCTCGGTGTTTTAACAACATGATATATAAAATTTGTTGTCATCGTTTTATTATAAATATTAGAATTAGTATTATATCTATCCATCGCTTCTGTTTGTGCATTACTCAAACTGTAATGGATAGTGTTGAATTAGACTTGACTTGTATATAAAATTCAGTTTTGAGGGGCCCTTCTCCTACAAAATTTTTCCGAGGCCTCAAAGCCCTTAATCCGGCCCTGACAAGTTGTAATCACCGCTTCAGTTCATCATCGGTTTTCGGTCTTTACCTTAGGGGGGGGGGGGCAGCTGTCTGGATATGTTTTAATGTTCACGCTATTTCTCTTCTGTGAATGTTAATGTATTTGCACGAGGGCCGGAGTTTTCAATTTTTAGAATACTTCGTCATTGTAAAATAAAAACTAAACCTAAAACAGCGCGCTTAGTCAGCTTTTCTCTATAAGAAACTGAGAAATGGAATTAGAGCAACATATTTTTTCGTTTAAGCCGGTTTCGTAATGTTTTATGAAATTCACGCAAAAGCGATAGTGATTTGTGCTGGCCGTCCATAATTTACAAGTAATTATCTAAGTGGGAAGGCAGCTAGTCTCTACCTCCCACCGACAGCTCTTGGGAATTGACAGTCACTTTTATAACACACCCACGACCCCAAAGTACGGAGTGCGATTTTCTTGTTTGTTTTGGCGATAAAGGGACGCGAACCACAGAACCTCGAATCCACAGTCTGCCGATTTCGGAATATGCAGTCGGCATTGATTCAAGTTCTAAACTCAGATTTTAAGACACTTCTGTAAGAATCATTCGGGAATATTTCCCAACACTCGGGATAATCGCAGCTTCAACTTGCTTAGTGTAAATACATGTACAGCAGTCTGAATAAACCACTAAAATGCCAGGTCACACCAACTATTAGGACAGTCATGCACGAAGCTACATATACATATCGTGGATGATTCTAAGTGTCGATTATCAAATTAGCAACAGCTTCCTTTTCCTAGAATTAGCCAGTAACACGTGTGCCACCGAACAATAGAATTGGGTTAATATGCCCTTTTTTTTAATATTTAAAGAAACCATAAAAACACGTTTTAAACCGCATTTTCTTAAAAATATATGCTTATGTATCGTATACGGTGGCGTCTGAAGTTTAGAGAACCTAAATGCAGTATCTTAAGATTAACCTGAGAAGTATCTGTGGTCCGTCTCTTCAAATATAAGTTTTTTTTTGTAACTTATGCATCAAATTACACCTGGGTCCTTGACTTTGTTCGTGACAGGGTCACCCTCTAAGATGAGGTACACAAAAATATTTTGAGGGTTAAACATTCGTATATAAAAGTTCTATAATATTTGACGTGTTTTACTCTTAACTTAGTTTGACAACATACGTTAAATTGGTTTATTTTTTTATCGTAGCGTAGATTACACTGGGAGTTACTTTTTGCATGTTTAAAAAAGTTAGATTGTAATAACTTGAACAATTAAAGGGACTATATATATGGGTCATGTGATTTGGCAATGAAAAGAAACATACCAGAAGTGAGACGGCGTAATTTACAGGTCACTATCAGGATTAAAGCCATATTGGGTAGGAATTAACATGCTCTTGTGTATTTTTAACCATTGGATAACGGTTCTCAGTCGGGAAGGGGAGGTGAAGCTAAAATGTTTGGGAACCCCTGAATTAGATCATTAGTTGCTGTAACTTGACAACGTTGGTAATGTATATTAATATGGCTGACAATCAAATTTAAGTAGAGATTATAGTTCAGAATAATAAGAAAATTAGATACAATTAAAAACTTGATATTCTACTATGGCACAATTAACCCACTTTCGGCTAAAAACAGTTCAACCTAAAAGGTTGAGAAATTTCACTCATATAAGGTTATGACACACATAGTAGCGAACGTAGTTGGCCTTTTCAAACTTTGAAACACCCTTTGTATTCATGACCTACATTCGCATCTATTGTTAAAACGAGTTTCATATTTTAAGTTTAAAGGGAGTGTTTTTTTTATTGGTTCGAATCTAAGTTGAGAATATATAACATGAAATATCATGATCGTACAAGAAGCTTGGGAACAAAAACTCGCATGTTTAACTTCGAACTTTTAGCAGGTGTTCTTCTAACTATATATAGTCCTCTGGTCACTTCAGATTGTTGTTACCCGTAAGTTATAATTTCGCAATAATTTGAAAGAACTAGATGTTAGCAAGTAATGGACTCCAGTTACCATTTTAGTGTGATTACAACTTGTGTAGTGTAAAGTGAGCCTGATATACGATGAACTAGATTCAGTATTTAATATATACTATATGCTACCTGATAATGAACTAAGAAAAGTACCAGTTTTTAAGTTCTTCTAGAAGCTTATTTTAATATTATCCTTTGGTTTCATAGTGTAATCAAGACGATTTTAATTTCTGAATGCTGTGTCGTAGGCTATAATAACTTTTTGTTGCTTTCTTAATATATATATATGCAGTTTCGAAAATTTTGACAGTTTGATCAAATTAGTTTTTTTTTATACTGTTTATGAATACTTTCGAAGTTGGTTGTTTAAAATGGCAAAATTAACTGTCGTTCGAATCGTGGTCCCCCCCCCCCCCCGCACAATATAGTTCAAGAATAGAAAAAGTATTTCCTCGAAATGGATCAGTTCATATTTTTTTTGGCTTATATAATAAATGAGAAACAAATGAATAGATAATAAATCTTCCTAAGAAGTAACTATAATATTACGAAAATATGATAACCTGCTGCCTTGTAGATAGTACATTTGTACAACGTACTATTTAGAAACCCATTTATAATGATTTCATGTCATGTGAGGAGTCTTAAAGTTTTCTTCATTTACACTTTCTATTCTCCAGTTCGACAAATTTTAGTCTTAACAATTTCTGAAAGTTGCCCCACTATTTAAAGTCGTTTCTTACCTTTAGAGGTTAACCAAAAAAAGTATACTAGACTTGTGACGGATGATGTACAAGTTTGTGTGACTAATAATTGTTTTTCTATTCAGTTACGCAGAACCAAATCTCTCGACTTTATGGCCGATTTACAAGCTTGGATAAGATGAACACTGGAACGCTCGGGTAAAGTTTAGTGTATTTACTATGATGGAAGTGTATACTAACATTTAGAAGCAAGAACAGTATGTTTAACTATGATCTATCTTGGCTTGCTAAGATCACGAATTAATAATGCTTGACAGTGAAAAATATATAGATATCAATTTTAAGAATTCTTTCTTTATTTAGGTCTTAGGTTTATAAAGCTTAAGAACATTCTAGAAACAAAAAAATAAACAGAGGGGGACACTAGCTGATGCATACCTTGTCATCTCCTTACACTTGTTTATGGAAAAGTGTTTCTATTTGTGTACTGATTTTCTTTTAACTTAGATTTTGGGCACCAACAGATGCATTAACTGACAAGAAAGTAATGCAAATACTAACACTACCTGTTCATTTCAAGGTCCAATGAAAGCAAAATGTCTTTGTTATGGACTGGAACAAAAGCAGGATATTCTTAAAAGCTATTAGGCCTCTGGGCTTAAACACCAAAGCACCAACTTGTTAAAGACATCTGATTAAATCAGAGTTTCACAAAATTGTAAAAGTTCTGGTGGATATTCAGCTCACAAGTCATTGAAAATTTGGTGGACTGAATAATAAAATTGATATTATAGAATATTTTTCGTTTTAATAGGTAATGATAATCATTAGATTGCAGCCTGAGTGTAGTAATATCACAGAAGACTTAAAGTCAAAAATTCAGTTCAGGTGTTAATTGTATTCATATTCTAACTCAATTTCCCTCTGAAATTGAAACCACACATCCTCTTTCCTCTCATCCACTTCAGTGTCTGTATCTGAGGCACTGTCATTATCACTGTACAGTTTGACACCTCCTGTGTAGGTGTTAAAATATTTTGCTCCTACACTAATGATGAGGTGTCCACAGCAGTTGCTTCAGTTTCCTGCTAAGGAAAGTTAAGTGATATATCTTCTGGCAAAGATGAAGTTGATGGTTCAACAATGATCTTCCTTCTGTAGGTTGTTCTCCTCCTCTGGTCAGTTGGATAAAGAATGAAGGCATGCTTTTGTTTGATTTCCTGGGATTAACACTATTGCCAAAAATCTTGATACAAACAGTACACTTCTTAACACATCACTCTTCATCAAAAGTAAGCCATGTTTCTCGACCCTTCTTCTAGCTATCCTGAAATGTTTGAGGCTTTTTCGTAGTTTCAGAAATTTTCCGTTTCTCTTTACTGATATTTCCATTCTTCGCTGACGAAGATTTTCATTTAACTCCAGGGGTGTACTTAATTGGCAACACTGCCATTTGTAATCAATAGAATACAGAGTGAGTTTTCTTATAGTGAATTTCATTGGCTGCATTAAAAGTCATCAGCTAACTGAGGGAAACGTAACAATGATTTCTTTATATGGGGGAAAAAAAAAGCATGTACTGCAGTCTCAAAAGAAAGATGAGTAAATGCTCATAAAGAATCATCTGAAAATAACCGAGAAAATCACAGAAACTCTACATATTCTAGGAAACTTATGGTAAGTCTACATGAAGATATGCCAGACCGAATGTCGGACAGTATTAAAAGACATGTCAGACTATGACAATTTCTGACATTATGCCCCAGAGGACCGAGGGATTTGTGAAATTATTAAGTCCTGTTTACTCTGGACAGCCAGAAATATCAAGTTTAAAATCTTGTAAAGTGCCACAAACCAGTTGATGATACTTAAGAAGAAGATATAACATCTAGTGAGAGTATGATTGATAATTTTAAGTAACATAGCGTATCACTTGTGAGAAGGCTGTAGTTTTGGTCAAGGGTCACGTGTTACATGGAATGTCTCCTTCCTGGGCTTTGCTCTGTACTGATGAAATGAAGTACTGGCATACTAATAACCTAGGTATATCTAATATCTACATATTTGTACATTTATACAAATCATGAAAAATGACAGACATTAAATCATGGGGAAGAAAACTAATATAATTGAATTATAATTTCCTGAATTTTTAAACATCTGCATAGGCTTAGCCAGTAACTTTTTAAAAAAAATCTATGATCAGTTAAAGTATTTCTTTCATACTAAAAACATACCTCAGTGTTTTTAATTTGTTGCATATAACTGATATATTAATTATGAACATGCCAAAAATAACACATTCAATAAGGCATGAATCAGGAATACTACAAACTGTTGAACACTGGAAAACTATTTGTCGTTAAACCTGTTAAGTTGTGTATTTTATCAGCTAGCTTATCATGCTCCAATGGAATGAACTAGTGCAAAAATAAATAAAATTGATAATGAACCTATTATTGACACCCACTTAAAATTAAGTGGGTTAAAAGATATTTATTCATGGAAAAAAATAAACACCAAAATATTAAAATCACATCCTTGTATAAGAAAAAATTTTGAATTAAGCCAATAAATACCAAAATATGTTAATAAATAATTATCTCCATTGCACTGAGACACCAGTCTTCAGCATAACATACAATAGGTATTTTGATTTTTTTTTTTCTAAAGCACAAATCTCATTACATTTAACAGAAAAGGAGGAAAAACACAATTATTGTTAATCTATTTCAGCCGAGAAGACTTCCTTAGGATCCCAGAGCTGGCTATAAATCCTCTGGGAGATCGAATTGTCCATGCCTTCTTCAGCGAGTCCCTAGATGGCACAATCAACTTTAGACAGTTTGTAAGAGTTCTGTCCAGGTTTCGAAGGATAAAGGAGAGTGAAAAAGACAAATTAAATAGTCGAGAGGAGAAATTGAGATGTGAGAATAACTTTATCTTTACAGAAACTTCGTAATTTAAGGTTTGACCTTGACATTCAAAGATATTCTACAGCTATTAGAAATTTTTATTTGAGGTTAAGCAGCTTAATATCAGAATATGAAGAACAAATTTTAAAATTCTAATCTGAATGCAGCTCAGTATCTACTGATGTACAAGTTTTCAGAATGTGAACACCTGTTTATTCATAGGTTTTCCTCTTAAAAACTAGAATTGATTTGCAAATATTGCATAATTCATTAATTTTACCTTAATGTTATTTGGATAACAAGTGAAAAACAAAAATAGTTTGCAAAATACCTAGATGTTTGTTAGCTATCTATTAGGTACATTGTTCGCATTATTATTTTACAAAATAGCAATTAATTTGGGCCTGGTGGTTAGGGTGCTTGAATCCCCATCATCTAACATGCTTGCCCTTTCAGCTGTGGGGGCATTATGTGATGGTGAAGACTAACTGCCTTCCCTCTAGTCTATCACTGTCAAATGAGGGATGGCTAGGGCATATAGTAGGTTTGCACAAAATTCAAAACAAATCAAACCATACATTTGTTATTAATAAAAAAATAACTTGATGGCAGTTAATTTAATGAACTTCTACTTTTGTTTACTATTTAATAACTTTATAAGCACTTTCTAAGTTGATACAATGCATGAAATTAAGAAACTGCATTTATTGATGAAATTTGTGTTTGGCATGTCTAGTTGCTTTCAGGATGTATGACCTAGATGATGATGATAAGATATCTAGAGATGAACTCCTGGCTGTGCTCCACATGTTGGTTGGAGTAGACATATCTGAAGAGCAGGTGGGTAGAGAAACATTGGTATATAGGGAGTGGATTGTTGAGAACAGATTCACATGGGTAAATTAACTTATTAGCATCACAGCTTTCTTGAAGCTATATTTTTAAGGTAAATATCAGTAATGTCTATAATAAAGATGTAGACAATCTCAAGTTATTAGATGTTAAATTCTAAATATGGAACAAAAATGACCAATAGAGAAGCAAAATAACTACAGACAACAATGAAAGTAAATCCAGGATATAAAGTTATTATTTACTTTAGCAGAAATTTTATTTTAATCTAAACTGATTAACACTATTATTTCTCTCAAACCTTTTATACTGCAAGAATGTACATGTTCCTTATTATTAATAACAAAAGAATCTCTACTAAATAGTCTTTCCCTTATCAACAGTGCCCATTATTTATCTACCTAGCTGGTAAATACATTAGAGGCAGTGTATATGCCATAAACAGATAAGCACAGAAGATAGACATGGAACCGCTAAGATCAGTCTTTCTATGCTGTATTATCTGCCATATAATGAAACAACTTCAAATGGGCAACTAGAAGTTAAATTAACATTGTGTCACACAATATTTAGTAAACTGTCAGTTACAAAGGACTTTCCCACAATACTTTAGAAGGTGAGAACCATTCCATTACTACAATGGCCATAAAAATTTTAAAAGAACTTGCATTGAATATTTTGGTGGCTGGTCAGCTCACTACCGGTATTTTTGTTACTAGGGTATTTCACTACCTGACAATTGTCATAATCTCCTTTAAGATCATAAAATAAAAATATTTCTTCAATATTAGTTTATTAAGAAAACAAGGCTCTTATGTTGTAAAACATTTTACTTAAAATGATGAAAGATTTGGGCTTTCTTGGAATCATTGTAAAGCTATAATGAGTCATTTATACATAGCTGAGCAGTAGCGAAATGTCCTAGAACCGAATATATATTTTTTCCAAGTCAGTATAATTATCCAGTTTCCACTAGTTAACCTTTCACCATTTCTGTGAAAGTTAAATGAATAATAAAATATTTTAATCCTAGAAAGTGATTTGTACCAAGCCTTAGCTTAATGATTAAAATCTACTGATGATTTTAATATATCTGGAAAGATGAACTATTTCTAGTGTTACCACTTGCTGTATAGAATAAAACAGCATGTTGACAACAAATGTAATATTACCATATGTGATCAAAAATACATTGAGTGAAGTGGTGTATTTTCAAATGCTTTAATTTGATTCTTTCAGTTGGCAAGTATTGCTGATAGAACAATAATGGAGGCAGACACAGATGGAGACAGGTTGATCTCATTTGAGGAGTTCTGTGCCACCCTGGAGAGAACTGACATAGAAGAGAAAATGAGCATTCGATTTCTTCACTGAAATGTTTTAAAGTATACTGGCAGAGATTCAGTTACAATCCCAACACCAAGCTGTAGAATACACAACATATTCATATTGTTTTTATCAGAAATATTGAATGCACATTTTACACACAGTTATAGTTTGACTTAAAAATCTATGACCTATTCACACTGTATGCAAGTTGTTTTATCTTTATGCCATTTACTGAGGGAGTTTATTGTGACAACAAGGCCGTTATGCTTTGAATCTACAAACCTAAATTATTCCTTCTGTGATTCTCCTTTAGAAGTAATTTCTTTGTACAGAGGGTGTGCTGTAGGGAAGTGAAAGTGGCATTTGTCACATCAGAAATATTTCAATTATTGAAAACTTGCAACTTCAAGACAAAATGCTGAAGTACAATTTAAATAGTTTTTTGTGATAAATTTGGAGTATAGTGGATGGATTACTTAGTTTTGTATATATTGTTGCCTTGTATAGAAACTGATTTTCAGTCAATTTTTCCTGACTTCTGTAGATAAATAAGACATAGTTATAACAGTGGCTGTAACTATTTCTGTATAGTAAACTGTGAAACGAAGTACATGCAGTATTTCCACTTCAACCTACAACTCATGAGTAATATTGGACATTCCTCTTTTGATAAACTACATGTATGTTTATTTGCACTTAAAGGATATAGGCTTATAAAATTATAACATAGGAGATACTGTACTGGTATTCTGTATATATGAAAATTATTATTAGCCCAGGTCTTATGTAAACATAAACTAGTTCAATAATATCAGGTGTACGAATATTGTTATGTTACAATTGTTGTTTTATTCCTTGAATTTAGGAACATGCATCAAATTTTTTCAACTACACTTCGTCATTCTGTTGCTAGAAACCTTTATAATAATAGTGCTTAGAGAATATACATTTGACACCAAAATTTGCTAAGGAGGGAAAGGAAAATTATCAAAACAAAGTATATTCGTTTCATAAATACATTTTGTAACATTTAAGCTGAACTTGATACTGCCAGCTTTTTGAGATGATCCATGAAAACTTGAAGACTGACATCATCTGTAAGGACAGGAGCACCACTCTCCTAAAAAAGATAATTTCTATTACTTTCCAAATCTTACTATTTTTTCACTGTATAGTAGAAAATTTAGTTTGTTTTCAAATATGTCATCAGTGCATATAAACAAATTTCTAACATTTAAATTTTAAGCAATTACAGACTAATACCACATGCACCCACCACCAACATAGAAGAAAATATAAAAAGGATATACCGTTTGATACGAAGTCTTTGATGGGCAAGTGGCATGAAAAATAGGAAACAATACAATTATTATACAGTACATATTAAAGACAAGATTAATCATATATAATTAATATCAACCAGCAAAAACTTACTAAAGCTGTTATGAGAGTGGTGTGTTCACATTAGAAAAGACTGACCAGTGTAAAGTCTTAATTACATGGTATATGAACCAGAATGATACACAAAATTGTATAGTGCTTCTTCCTTTCAGATGGGTGACAACTGCATTGTTTGAAAGCATCAAAATACTGGGCAATTTAAAACATTTATGGTCAATGAAATGTCAAAAAAATACAACAGTGCAACTAAGTTACACAGCTGTTGTGCAGACTTGCACTGACACTAAACGTAACATCAGTTATTCTCAGGCTCCAGTAGTCGTGAATATTTTCAAGTGCCATAAGCACAATTTAACAGGTATCAATTTTAAAGCATACAACTTGTAATATTTCCTTCCATATGAACAGTTAAACTAAGAAAAACATTTATAGTATAATAAGTTTTATAAGCAAGGTTACAACATTCACAAAATGCTCAATGAACATACAAATGATAGTTTACATTTAACTACAGCTGAAAACAAAATGGTACTTGGTCATTATGAGCACAGTCCAGTCTGGTTAATCGGTTAATATACATTGGGTGTATGTATTAATACCACATCATAAGACGTGAATGCTTAAATGAAATATAAAAAAAAAAAAAGAAATATTTTGATATTTTTGTAGCCAAGTAAAAATCTAGTAAATGTAAACCTTAAGCAGAGATTTCAAATAAAAAAAAACATTATATAAACTCAAGGAGAAGTAATAGATGGATATAATTCTAGCATATCTATTTATAGAAAAATGCAACTATTAAGAATACAAAGTTCACTCACCTGACCCCATCCATACATATTGTTGTGAGTAATTGAAGGATTCACCTTAGACAGTAAAAATCTTGCCTGAAACATTGTGGAAATTGTTGAACAATAAGTAATAATAAATTTGATTGGGTAATGCAACATTTAAAAAATTTTATTATGTATCAATGAAATAAAGAATAAGGTCACTTTTTACAGATGTGCAATATTTCATAAAGTAAAAACAATTGTGGAAATTTAATAATAACTGTTCACCAGCCCAATTAAAAAGGAAACTAACAAAATAATACAGAGTATGAAGTAATTTTTACTTGAAATTGGCCTTTTTTTAATAGTTAAATACACACACATTTTCAGATTAACAGAAATTTTCACAACATTGTGGCATAATATACATCTCTTCAAAACTTCACAAAGTCAATCTACTAAAAAATCACAGAAGGTGACCAAGACAACCATTTAGCTACAATAACTAGCACACATATTAACCATTACAAACAGCAAAAGTAACAGTTTGGGGGAGAAGGAAGCCTTTTATATGGACCACACAATAGTTATTTTGCAAGATACACTTGTCAAAATGAAATTATGCAATGCCATGTTACTTAATATGAGAAAGTGTAATAACAAGAATAGTAAAGAAATTCCGAACCTCTACTATTTAATATTTATTACTTTGAAACAAATATTTATATGAGCTATGAATATGAACAGACATAGTCAAAGTTATAATACCAGTAAACACTAAATTATGTAACTGGACACATAAATGCAACTAATTTTCACTTAAACATTAAATTAAACAAAGTGGCCAATATATACCATAATACTAGGTGTACTTCTGCAGGGTCCCTAAAAATGTTCTGTTTGAAGAGTAAATAAAACCAAAATTGGAGTAACAATTATTTTTATTTCTTGCTTTTGAAGTTCATATGTCATTCTATGTTATAGCCTACATAATGCATAATTCTTCGTGTTTCGTGGCATGTGCATGTTTTACTGACATCATGGCAGTACAAACTGCAACATTAAGTGTCTCTTATGTGACTCCATTTTAGTGTCTACTGAGTGACAGTCAGACAACACTACCGTATAATGGTATGAGTGGTAAAAACAGGTGAACCTTCTAGGCAGCCTTCATTCCCCTTTTTTATACAAGAAATATCCCGAAAAGCTTGTACAGTTAAATATGGAGATTGTGGTTGGGGAAGGTTTTGGGGCTAAGGATACAATATTCTATAAAGCATAACACTCAATTGTCCAAATTTAAATTTTCAACAGGCATATGATTCAAAGTGTACATATAAACTATGGTGAGGCCACATCAAAGGAACAACAAAACATGGTTTCACCAGACTTTTCATTTACTGAACTCTAGGGTATGAAAGCAACAGAAGTGGAAACTGACAACATGTCATGTAACTGTGACATTACATTCCTACAGCCTGGAATGCCCCAACATGAATAATTTGGCAGAATGACTGATGATGTGCAACAAATTTGCAAAGCTGTCATTAAAAAGTTACTATTTTTAATGAATCTAATGTTTAACTGAAAATACTTACATGATGTATTTGAATGTGTTCAATTATACATGTTATTCCTTACTGCTATTATATTAAACCAATTATTTGATTGTAACTACATGTGTGTACATTTTATCTGCAAAAATGTGTCTGTTTCCATACTTTTGAAAGGTAGTGTATATCACATTAAAGTTATGTAAATCTGGTAATGAGTTTAAATCCAAAAGCAAGTGGAAAAATTATGCATGCTTTGAATGGATGTTTCTTAACTCTCAGCACAGGCTCAGTCCCTGCGACCAACCTCATAACCATTTTGTGCCTGTTATAGTTTTCATGCTATAACTTTTAAATTAATAAGCAAATGTTAAAATTTGGCAGATTATCAGTAAACATTACAATGCTTTGAATTGCCAAATATCAAACACTTTTATTAAGTCTTAAGGTTTGTAAAGCAATGTTTTTCTCATGTATTTTTTTTCTTTTCACCTGTTGCCTATCCAACATGCAAAGTAATTTTCATTTTAAGATTAAAAATACTTTTGTGCACCAAAAAATTTTCAAATTTCACATGCGAAATCTTTATAATAT